CTCTGAGGGACAGGGTGGGGTTGTTGGGGTGTCTGTGCAGGGCCAGGACCTGGACTGGATGATCCTTGAGGGTCCCTTGCAGCTCAGGATGTTCCAAGAGTCTGTGATTTAGTGAGACCTCGTAGTTCCAGTGTGGAATTGAGAACCTCTTCCTCCTCCTCACCCCCTTCCCCCAGCAGATGCCGTGGCACTGAGCACTTTGTCATCTCCAAAGCCCTTTGCAACCATTAACTGGTTAATCCTCACCCCCCCTGTGGAGCAGGTCAGCATCCCCCTGGCCCAGGGATATATCCCCAGCTCCAAAGCTGCTCCTTAATTTTGAGTGTTCTCAAACAGAGCTCCCAAAGCCACGGAGGAGTTGTGGCACAAAACAGGTCTGAGCCCCAATTTCAGACCTGATATCCCCCAGGAGCTGAGGATTCCTGACCCCAGGCTTTGCTGGGATAGAAATTATCACTAATGCTCGGATTAGAGCGTTTTCCAGCAGCTGGTTCTGCCCATTCCACTGAAATGCTGTTGGTGAAGGGCTTGGTGCCACCAGAACACTCTCTGAGCCTGCCCAAAGTGCAGGTGGGGTGCAAGTAATTCCTGCTGGGTGCCAGCAATTCCCTGTCATCCGAGGGAGAGGTGCAGGAGCGATGCCACTGGAGCCAGAGCACGCTTCAGCCGGGTCCCATTCCCACCTTTTGGGAGGTGAAACCACCAATTCTGTGTTTACAGCCCCGGGGAAGGTCACCAGAGGCAGGGACAGCTCCCTGCTCTGCTCCCAACGGCTTCTCCCGCTGGGGGGGTTTGGAATCACAGCAGAAATGAGTGTTCCTCCTGCTGAAAGTGCTCCAGAGAGCTGATGGACACACTGGAGTGAGAGGGCACGGCAGGAAGCTCCTTTCCTACAGCAGGCCCTCACCCAGCTCCGTGGAACGGGACTGCAGAGGGATTTATCTCTTCTTAGAGCTCAAATTATCTGATGTGAGCCGGTGCCAGTAAAAACTGGGATTTCCTGGCCCCAACCTCCCTCTGCTCTACTGACTTTCCCTTGCTTCGGGTGCAACTGCTGCACCCTCATTCCCCAGGAGTGATCCAGCTGGATTCAGGGGCATCTCACCCTCTCCTCTGGAGCATCCTCTGGAGCAGGAGCATCCCAGCCCGTGGGGTGGGGCAGGAGGGAGACAAAGGCTGTG